TGATTAAAGCGGACTAAACAGGGCTGGTGTGAATGCACTCTCACTCTAGTGCAGAATTTTAATTAATATTTTTTATAAGGCAAATAAACCTAATTTGCACAACCTTTATTGCAAATGTTAATTAAAGTGCTATGTGTTGTCAACATTCTATGTTCCCATACAATGGTGAAATTAGTTATCTGCATTTACCGGTAACCCATTGCACACGGGATGCACCCAGGTGGAGCAGTGGGCAGCTAAAAGTGCTATGTAAGGAGCAATTGGGGATTGGGTTTCTTGCTCAGAGATACCACGACATGTGGGAATGGTTGGGGATCGAGCCTGGGACTTTCAGGTCCCAAGTAGGCCTGCCTACCTCTACCCCATATCAGCCCCAGATCTTTTAGATCTTGATGTATTAGTGCCATTTGTCCTTACCCAACCTGAGCTTGCTACAAAAATGACTGCAAAAATCTATGGTATACAGTTGTCTTTCAAGAAAGTACACGATAAACATATTAAAGTTTTCTGCATCTGCAATAGATTTAATTATAAATGTTCTTCCTTGTTCCTGGAAAAAAAATCAAGTATGAGGAAACGAGGAGAAAGTATTCAGTCTTGGTGTTGTTCGAGGCTCTTCATAACTCGTACTGGTACAATTAAAGGTTGACCCAGTTAATTATGTCAAGTTTTTAATTACAGGTTGTTGGGTCAATAATGACCAACCTACTTTTGTTAGTCATCCAATACATTTTGATTTGCTTTAGCCTTGCTCATCCCAGAAGATCTGCATTGAGGTTATTTATCCTGCGGTCACTAGTAATTTCAAATCATGATTATATTAGATACCCACTACAGACTCATGTTCAGGCTGCTTTTTAATATACCATATTATTTTACATTATTAGTGTTTAGCGAATATCTTAAATCATTTAGCATATAGTCGGGCGGCTGTGGCTGAGCAGTTAAAACAGTCGTCATCTAATGCAAGAGTTGGGGGTTCGAATCCACCAGCAGTCGCATGCTGAAGTGTCCCTGGGCAAAACAGTGAACCCCTCATTGCCTCCGATGTGTGTCCCATTGGTGTACGAATGTGATAAAGCTCTGATTAGTCACTTTAGAATGATTTGTTCAATTACCTTTGTAGAGCTATAGTAGAGTGCTGTATGAATGGGTGAATGAGGGCACAGATTGTGTTGTAAAGAGCTTTGAGTGTGTAGATAAGATAGAAAGGTGATTTATAAGTTAGAGCGGTCATTTCTAACCCAGGCCCAAAGCCTGACCCAGCCCGGCCCGAATTCGAGCGGAGCCTGGTCATAATAATGTGCTGGATGGGCAGGCCGGGTCGGTGTCAGGTGATTGCGTCAGCGGACTTGCGTGGCTGGCGATCAAATTATATGGCAATATGGCTTGCCATACTTTCACCAGCTGCACGGGGCCATTTGATTGCGCTGAAAGGCCTTGAAAGGCCTTGTGGGATTTGGGAGCTGTTGCAACCGGGACCTGGTCTGTCATCGCTGGGTGACAGACCAGACTGAAAGAGGATTAAAAAAAAAGTTCAATTGAGCTTCAGATGGGATTACTTCCAGGCAGAGATCCATCAAAGCCCAAATGGATGTTCAGTAGTCCGGTTACGGCTATGGGCTGGGGCCGGGTTGGATTTTTATGGCCCGAATACAACTCTAATATAAGTACAGTCCATTCCATACCTGGATTATTGAGCATGGACTTGTTCCATATAGTTTAGCGTTTGTTAAATATCCATGTATATCTTATATCCTTATATAATGAGAATCTTCACCAGCATATCCTTATACACTGTTTCTTTTTATATTTTATATTTTTGCTATTTTTGGGTGTAACTGGGACCTTGAGTACACAATTTCGTTCCACCTCATGTACCACATGTGATGCGAATGACAATAAAGAACCTTGACCTTGATATTCTTCTGAACGATGTTACCAACGTCACAAAATAACAACAGGGGAGATTCCTAAACCAGGCTATGTGTTTGACAAATGTTCATCCTATTTATTAGGCAAAACAACAACGCAAACCAATAATAACAACTATTATTGACTTTATACATTTATACCAACAACCCCCTTTAGTTTAAAAAAATGTTATGAATTGATCTGAAATGAATCAGGGTGATACAAACTTCATGTCTCTGAGTGATGAGCCTCACCGTCTGAATAAAATTAGACCTGAGTAATTATTGTACTGTAATAACTTATCTGTAAGGATAGACAGAGATGTAACATTTACACAGCACACTGAGGGTCTGTTATTTCCTGAACAAACAGACCACTTTCACACCTGACCCAGCCTGCACCCCCATTTCACCCCCTTACTGGTACCAGGAAGCTGAGATGTAAAACCAGGAAGCAGCAGGAAACACACAGCTGTGCTTTCAGACACAACAGAGCTCCATGTCAACACTTAATTATCAGTGTCTAATTATCTCAGGAAGGAAAAGAAGCCTCTGAGTCTTCTGTCCAGAGAGTCTATCATGGAGGAGAGGAGGCTGTTTAGCAGCCCTGTCAAGTGTAATTACATTAAAACTATTCCATCTTTTCTACTAAATGCAGTTAGAGGCGCACATTTCATTGCTCTTATTAAGATGAGGCAACTCAACACCAGCAAACAGCCAAACATTTGAGGTAGCGTTAGCAATGCCACGCAATACATTTGCTACGTGGATTTTAATCATTTTATCGACTTTACCAGAGACCGTACACGCAACGTAAAGATGTGGCGTTCTCTAAATGTACATATTTGAAGATTTAGGAATACTTACATAAAGTTAAGTTGATTAAACTGCTCCATTCGCTTATAGGTTAAACAATTTAAAAGAGGCAGAGTTTCAGTCGGTGACAGTTCGGCTCCGCTCATCTGTCTCTGACTCAATTGCGGCTGACGTTAAGCCACGCCCACATGTTTAACCGCTGAAGAGAGCAGCCAATCATATAATGTGGAATTTAAACTCCACCCATGCCGGAAACCGTCTGCAGGATGTCAGCCAATCAGATGAGTCGTTGGTAATTCTACGAGATTTTCAAGATGGATTATATTTTTACACACGTTGTCCTCGCTGACCTGTAGATGAATGAATCTATTCATGATGTAAATGTAATATGCTACTGACCTGAGTCTGTGTTTATATTGTACTCGCGTAAAATAAAGCGGGTGTTTATTTTGTTATGAGACCAAGAGGGTTGTGTGATTATTAATAATTAATATCTTACCTGTTGTAGATAGATTATTGAAAGGACTCCATTTGGAGAAATATAATTGAATTACAGCAAGATTGATGAGGTAGTCTGAAACCGACATCGTAAGAGAAAATATAAAAATAAAATAAGGAGCCACCAAACCAAACTGAACCCTACAAACAACATACTAGCATAGTGGAAAAACAGTTTGCTGGTGATGAGATGGCCTCCGGGGCCCGCCCTCTCCCCTGTCTACTCCTCCGAGGCAGCCATACCAAAGTGGTTCAAAATATCAAAGTTCATGCTCAATAATCCAGGTAGAAAATCCACTTTGAACCACAAACAGCAAACTGTTATTTTCCACTATGTGAGTGTGCTGCTTGTGGAACTCAGTTTGTTTGTGGCTCCTCTGATTGATGAAGTCCTTTGGATGAAGAATGAAACGTCTCAGCAACAAAAGAAACCGTCCAGATGACCTGACTGAACATTGCTGGATTTTTACCTGGATTACTGAGCATGGACTTTGACGTTTTGAATAACATGAGATCTTTGTTTTAATGGCTTCAGCTGTCATTTCTCATAAGCTGGTCGTAGTTTATGAAAGGTGGTCACATGTATTACTTCAGGACATGCTGTGCCTTTAATTTGGAGAAATGCTTGTAATTGATCTTTTAGTTCACATGATTCCAACAAACGTTTATTTTTCCCTGGTTAGGATCTGCTCCAGTTATGACAACAGGTTACGCTGAAAATAATCTATGTTTGTTTTAATAAAGACATTTAAAATTTACAGTAAGTGAAGACGGAGGATGAAGGTACTGGTGTAAGGTGCTTATCTGAAAAATAAAGACATAAAAAATAACTTTTGGACATGATTTATTGTGCAGGACTTTATTTTAAATCAAGTAATCAGGACTTTATTCCTTTACAAAAATAAAAATATATGTTTTTTTCCAGAAAGTGCAATAAATCAGTTACACAGGAAGATGCACACCTGAATGAATATTACAGCACAGTATATGTGTCACTGAAAGAAACTGATCAATAGTTTTTTATTAATAACGTATTGCAGTTAAAAGTGTGCGCTTCAAAATGAAGTTTTTTAAAAGCCAACAGCGCCCCCAGCCATTAAGATTTATTATTTCATTTAAAAAGTGTAACTGGTAAAAACAAAAAAATATGTTGCTGTGTACAAGTTAGAGAATACAAAAAAATATATCTCAAAGGTAGAGGATTTACATACTCTATATATTTACAGTGTACATTCTTGGATATTGTCAAATAATTTGTTTATTTTTGGAGCCGAGAGTTCATGGGGCTGTGGGTTAAGCCAACAACAAAACAATAAAAGGAGGAATTTCATATATTAAATATTTCATATTTCTCCTCATAGGACGCTGATCCAACATACTAAAGACACCCCGAGTAAACCCGAATACATTCTAATGAGACTGTGGTTAAAGTCAGTTCCGTCTTCAAGCGCAAAAAGAGGAGCTGAAACCTGAAGAATGAAACTTGAAATGGTTTCCTTCACAACTTCTTTGTGCTAATCATCTGTACAGCAGTTTTCTTTTTGCTTTCATGAGTCTTCTTGCACGTTACAAGCATTGACCTGAACGCAACCAGCACTGAATTTCTGCATGAAGTCACTGGTTTCCGTTAGTTGTGTTGCACTGCTGTTCAAGCCCTCCACTGTGTGACCCACAACGTCAGGAAAAGTGGAGGAGGGTCTTAAATGTGTAGCTGGTGCACAAAGCACTGAAGTCTTTCCTTTGAGCCCATGAAAATCAGTGCTGGGGGGGGGTTCAGGGAAGAGCCCCGCTGAAGGTGACCACAGGCAGGCAGAGGAGGGAGCAGAAGGTGGGGTTGAGAGGCTGGATCTGAGCAGAAGTCTGGGATTTTCTCAGCCTCCAGTCAGTGGAGCTGTCAGGTTTGTAGCAGACTGATACTTCACACCTTAAAGAGACAACACACACAAGGGTTGGAGAAAAGTGCCGAGCTCGGAGAGTTTGAGGCTGCAAACAATGCAAGGTAAACTAAATCTGTAGAATCAACAACAAGTGGGACACAATCGTGAAGTGGAATGAAATTTATTCGATGTGTCAAAATTTTAACAAATAAAAAATTGAAAAGTGGGGCGTGCAATATTATTCGGCCCCTTTACTTTCAGTGCAGCAAACTCACTCCAGAAGTTCAGTGAGGCTCTATGAATGATCCAATGTTGTCCCAAATGACTGATGGTGATAAACAGAATCCACCCGTGTGTAATCAAGTCTCCGTATAAATGCACCTGCTCTGTGATAGTCTCAGGGTTCTGTTCAAAGCACAGAGCATCATGAAAACCAAGGAACACACCAGGCAGGTCCGAGATACTGTTGTGGAGAAGTTTAAAGCCGGATTTGGATACAAAAAGATTTCCCAAGCTTTAAACATCCCAAGGAGCACTGTGCAAGCAATCATATTGAAATGGAAGGAGTATCAGACCACTGCAAATCTACCAAGACCCGGCCGTCCCTCTAAACTTTCATCTCGAACTAGGAGAAGACTGATCAGAGATGCAGCCAAGAGGCCCATGATCACTCTGGATGAACTGCAGAGATCTACAGCTGAGGTGGGAGAGTCTGTCCAAAGGACAACAATCAGTTGTACACTGCACAAATCTGGCCTTTATGGAAGAGTGGCAAGAAGAAAGCCATTTCTGAAAGATATCCATAAAAAGTGTTGTTTAAAGTTTGCCACAAGCCACCTGGGAGACACACCAAACATGTGGAAGAAGGTGCTCTGGTCAGATGAAACCAAAATCGAACTGTGCGGCCACAATGCAAAACGATATGTTTGGCGTAAAAGCAACACAGCTCATCACCCTGAACACACCATCCCCACTGTCAAACATGGTGGTGGCAGCATCATGGTTTGGGCCTGCTTTTTGTCAGCAGGGACAGGGAAGATGGTCAGAATTGATGGGAAGATGGATGGGGCCAAATACAGGACCATTCTGGAAGAAAACCTGTTTGAGTCTGCAAGAGACCTGAGACTGGGACAGAGATTTATCTTCCAACAAGACAATGATACAAAACATAAAGCCAAATCTACAATGGAATGGTTCACAAATAAACGTATCCAGGTATTGGAATGGCCAAGTCAAAGTCCAGACCTGAATCCAATCGAGAATCTGTGGAAAGAGCTGAAGACTGCTGTTCACAAACGCTCTCCATCCAACCTCACTGAGCTCAAACTGTTTTACAAGGAAGAATGGGCAAGAATTTCAGTCTCTCCATGTGCAAAACTGATAGAGACATACCCCAAGAGACTTGCAGCTGGAACTGCAGCAAAAGGCGGCGCTACAAAGTATTAACGCAAGGGGGACGAATAATATTGCACGCCCCACTTTTCAGTTTTTTATTTGTTAAAAAGTTTGATACATCCAATAAATTTCATTCCACTTCATGATTGTGTCCCACTTGTTGTTGATTCTTCACAAAAAATTAAAATTGTATGTCTTTGTTTGAAGCCTGAAATGTGGCAAAAGGTTGAAAAGTTCAACGAGGCAGAAAACTTTCCCAAGGCACTGTATTTAAAGGTAGTGTGCTGTCTAAAATGGTCTGTCATTTCATTGTTATATAGATGATTGTCAGATTTATCTGCCATTAAAACTAGGACTGTCGTGATAATAAATCAATTAATGGCATGATATATGGGGCCGAGATGGTGTAGAGGCAGGGCAGCCGGCTTGGGACCCGAGAGTCCCAGGTTCGATCCCCAGTCACTGCACATCACGTGGCGTCTCTGGGCAGCACGTCTAATCCCCAAAAATGTCCCCCGGGCGCTTTCAATAGCTGCCCACTGCACCACCTGGTGGTGGATGGGTTAAATGCAGAGACTAATTTCGCCATTGTATGGAAACATACAGTGCTGACATTGTGATGACATTATTATTATTATTATTAAATGAAAATGATTAGCCTCATTTTCATTTATCGGCTTTATCGTTTCTTCATGTCTCTGTCTTTCTACTGAATTTACTGGATGACAAAAAGCTCAACTCCAGTGCTCGTCACTGACCCCTCATTTCTTTATTTTTGCTTTCTTTTAAAATCGGTTTTAACCGTCCAAAACCGCGTTTATGGATCGTTAAAAGCAGCTAAACTGAGAAGCTAAGCTACGAGCTAAGCTAACAGGCTGACATCAGGGAAAAAACCTCTGTCTCGTCAAAGCTCGAAAATTCACAGTTGTTATTGTGACAGGCCTAATTAAAACCATATCAATAAACACTGCAGTGAAGGCTACCTATGGGACAGACCTGGTTGGCAGGCAGTAGACTGAGGAAGTCCTCTGGATGGGGGACAAAATGTTTCTCACTTAAATAAACTGGTCCAGATGACATGATTTAACCTTTTTTGTTGTTATCTACCTGCATGATTGAGCTTACAACCTTTTTTTAATATCAAATCATATTCCACCAGTTTTATCCTCCCTTCACTGGCTCCCTGTACATACTAGAATTGATTTTGAAATTCTCCTGCTGACCTTTAAGTGCATTAATGTCCTTGAACGTTCATATCTCTCTGAGCTACATACTTTATGTTCTTCTCGGGCGCTGAGATCTGATCAGCTGCTTTCAGCTATTCCAAAAACAAGATTGAAGCTCAGAGGTGATCTGGCCTTTTCAGTCGTGGGCCACAAACTTTGGAACAATCTACCCCCCAACATTAGACAGGCCACTTGACTTCCTGTTTTTAAATCTCAGCTAAAAACACACCTGTTTTCACTGGGTTTTTACACAGTCTGACTTTACTTAGTATTTTATTGCTCTGCGTTTTTTATGTTTTCTTTTTATACTTTTGATTTTCAGTACTATCATTTTTATTTTTATTTTTTTACATGGATTTACTCCCATTGATTTTATTGTTAAACACGTAACTGCCGCTTTAAATGTGCTTTATAAATAAAGTTGACTTGACTAAATGTTCCTTCCATCTATCCTCTCCTGTTTGTTCAGAAGTCGGGTCTTGGGACAGCTTGAGCAGGAAGGTCCAGACATTTATTTCCACAGCCACCTCATCCAGCTTTCTGAGAGGATTTCAAGGTATTCCCAGGAATTATCCTTACAAGATACCTGAACCACCTCAACTGGCCCCTGTCCATGTGGAGGAGCAGCAGCTCTACTTGGAGTCTCTCCCAGATAACTGAACTCTTCACCCCCTCTCAGGGATAGAGAGTACAGTCACCCTGCAGAGAAAACTCATTTTGACTGCCTGGATCTGTGATTTTGTTCTTTCGGTCACCACCCAGAGTTTGTGACCACAGGTGAGGGTAGGAACACAGATCGACCAATAAACAAACGGAACAGATGAGATTTTATAGACTGAATTATTCCAACATGGCAGCAATCCATTCTGGTCTTGGTTCTGTTAGACTGTCTATTAGCTTCTTACTCTGAGGTCATTCCAATAAGTATTTACAACAGATATGATTTGAGCTGTTCATAGCATTTGCTTTTCTTTTTTTTTTTTTTAGGAGACGCACATTTCTTTTCAGTGTCTCTGCAAACCTGTCTTGATCTCATACCTTTTGACACTTTGTAGTATCTTCTTCTCATCCTGGTCCAAACACACAGCAAAGGTTGTGTTTCCGGTGCCGCTGACCTGCACTTTGTCCACCTTCACCTCCGTGACAGTCAGCTGCTGTAAAGGTGAGTAAAATAATTTTTTACATTTAGTAAACACATGAATAATTTCTTTTAAAATATCATTTTTAAAATCACAGACTGTTGATGGTGTTCTTCTAAAGCAGAGATATTCAACTAAACTGCTCAGGGGGCCACAGTTACTGAAAGCTAACAGCTCGAGGTCGAAACAACCGGTAAATATAGACATTACATAACTTATTTACAATTTAAACTCTAGTTATATTTTAGATTGACTTATTGTCAGCTGGAGTAATGGTAAATAGTAAGTGGACTACACTTATATTTCGCCTTTCTATTTTATTAAGAAAAGAAAGCTCAAAGCTCAAACCTCTTTACACTACAATCTGTGCCCACAGTAAGCTTCGTCATTGCACGGTGAAATACAGTGAAACTGTAATTTCGTACAGTCGTCCGAAAGATGGGTGGAGTGCACGTGGCTGCAGGTCCTAGGAGCGTGGCCCTTATTTTTAAGATAAGAAAAGGGGAAAGACTTGAGGATGGTGTGTATTAAAAAAAGATCTCTTCACACCTTGTCCTTGTCAGGACACGGTTTAAGACATTAAAAATTACCAGCAAGTGCATTTATAGACATATTACATAGGAGTTTGATGATAAGATGGTGAGATTTGTCTATGAAGCACTTCCAGATAGCAACATAGTCCTGATAAAATGTTAAAGTGTCAGCCGGCACAGCTCTGATAAGCGTTCACGGAAGTTCTCGGGGTGGGTTGGGGGCAGGGGTGGATATAGCAGAGCTTTCTTGGTTTACACATCCCCAGGAGCAATTTGATAAGTTGGCCTCTTCAAAATCTTCTGAACGGGGAGGCCAGATTCAGATAAGCCACAGTTGTTTTTGTGCAGGCAGACTGTTTTTCTTTCGTCAGCCTCGAGTTCTGCTGGTACTCTCGATGATCCAAAATAAAAAGATTTGTGGACTTTCCGCTGGTCCATACTTATAAAAGCCTTCTCCAAGATCGATTCCAACATGCTGGCGAGTTCCAGAAGTCTCAAGTGGCCTACGATTCTCATAAATTGCTTCCAGCTTATGGATGAGCGTGTAAATTAGCCGAGTCTGAGAACTCGAAGCACGAATTAATCCTTCACATAAAGTCGGCAGCTTTACCATGGCCAAAACTGCTGTCGCCGTCTTTCTTAATAGCCGATAATATAGATATCTGCCGGTGCCAAAAAGCAGAAACCCTACCATTATAAATCCAATGGTATAAATCTTTGACATCCTCCAGAGACAACACAGACGGGCACATCAACTTACACTTTCCCCAGGAATCCATGATGTACCAAGCCGCATGCGACTGTCTGGGGCATGAGGGTTCTCCAGCACCTTGTCGTTTTGTTGAAAAAATGTTATCAATTGCATTGAAAGTCCAGCTGACCAGATCCATAACAATAATTTACGATTTGGAAGATGTGTAAAAAGAAGCTCTGATACACAGGACAAAGAGCAAAAGCAGGAGGAAGGCAGGAGAGGAAAGAAAAGACATCCGTCTTGCTCGAGGACGAGTGAGAAAAAAAATTATACTAGATCTGTACAAAGACTAATCAGAGCTTTATCACATTCATACACTGATGGGACACACATCGGAGGCAACGAGGGGTTCAGTGTCTTGCCCAGGGACTCTTCAGCATGTGACTGTCGGTGGAATCAAACCCCTAGCTCTCCCATTGGAGGACGACTGCTCTAACCACTCATCCACAGCTGCTCCCTAAAACTAAATGCCCTAAACCTGACTGAAATGCACTGTGCTGTCACAGTTCATCTGACAGGATCATCTCTGACAGAAATCTTGTCATGCAGGTTTTTAAGATGTTTATCTCACAGATTTTTTATTTCCCTTACATAAAATCTAATTTTTTCTTCAAATGAACCTAGGTGGGCCAGATTTAGATCACCCGGATGTGGCCTCTGGACCACTAGTTGATTATCCCTGATCTAAGGAAACCGAATCGCAGTGATTTAAAACAGGTCAGTGTTCCACTGACTTTCTAAAAACTGACGTCTTACAACACCTCTTCAGCTCGAAAGCCTTGACACAGTGAGCTCTAGTGTTGAATAAATAGTTGTGCCGAAGCACACGAGCAAAAAAAAAAATTGCAAGTGTTTCCTGTGCGTTGTGGCATTTCTTTGTTTTTCTACCCCCCATCAAGTAGTTCATGTGAAAAAATAAAGCTGCTCTCATTCGCGTTTGCACCGTGAGACGAAAAATCAATCCGGAAGCCTGAGACACAGCCGAGGACATATTGAGGTCAGGGTCTTTGAAGGAAACGTGCAGCCACGTTGTTTGAGTGGCGCGACGGCATGGCGCTGCTCAAACCACAAACCACTTGATGTTGTGTCTGGAGCTCACCTGGTTGTAGCCCTTCTTGCTTTTACAGTTTTGCCTCTTGAGGACCTCGGTCAGGGAGAGCTGCAGGCACTCCATCTTTGAGTCTGAAAGAGATTCAGGCAAACGTTAAAAGCTAAACGACAGATGCTATGTGGCTTTGCGTTTGTTAAATAATGTCATGTTCATCTAAAGGCTGAGACCTAGTTTGAATCAGCATTTTGTTTAATCGTGATTTACTAACAATCTTTTTTGCAGGACTCTAGCTTAAAACAGTAAAATCTGATTCCTGAAGTCCTGACCAGGAAAATTCTCTCCCAACACATGAAATCACTTCTCTGGAACAAGCAGGAAACTGTTGTTCTTAAACTTATGTTACTACACACCAAGCTCCTCTGGGTTCTTGCATGCTTTGATCAAGTTCACTGAAGTGCAGACTTTGGTTTCTCTTTTCCACTGGCTCCTCCCACTAATAACCACCTGGAAGAGAGGGGCATGAGGGTTAGAGTTGTGTTGGAGAAACACCTGAATGCTTGGAAGTGATAAATTTGGCAGTGAAAGTCCTCAGTGGGCAACTCCTACACACTTGAGAGGACACCACAGTCAGGGGAAGGGGGTATGATGTACATGTGGTCTGGGTTTACATCACTTCCTGTGTGGGTTGTTCAGGAATGCCCACTACGTATGTGCCATGCTGCTCTGTCATTTGTACAACACACTGGATCAGTTGTATTTAAACTAAATGAGAGTTGTTACATTGAATGGCTTCCTCTAACCTCACAGTGGGCTGCAGCTCATTAAGAAGATCAGAATCAGAATAAACTTTATTGGCATTGCACCGAGATAAAACGCAAACATGTACGTACAGTCGTCTGAAAGATGGGCGGAGTGCACGAAGCTGCAACTATAGAAAGCGTGGCCTTTTCTTATTCTTATTCAGAATAATATTTTGCTTAGATGAGAAAAGGGAAGAAAACATGAGGAGAGACGGTATAAAAAAAATAGATCTCACGCCGTGTCCTAGACAGGGCACGATTTGAGGCATCAAAAGAACATGTACATGTATATGTACATATGTACATATAGGCCGGTGAAAACATTGAATTTTTAAGGGAAAGTCATAGCATAGTCCAGAGTCCCCCCTCTCAGCCATTGACATTCATCATCAGCTCAGTTGAGGTTTTGTTACATGTCCACGGCCTTGGGGAAGGGAGGGGTGTGGAGACAGACAAAACATCTTTGTTGTTTTAAAAACATTTCAGGAAGAGTTGAGATAAGTCTGCCGTCAAGGCCACAGTTTGGGTCAGGCAGAACTCATGAATTGTTGTATATGCCTTATTAAAGTCTCGCTGGTATACATTTCCTCTGATGGAACTCCAAAACAGCCGAATTGATCCTTTACGCCAAAGTCAAGCTCACAGCATTCTCCAAGATTATTTCCCCTTCATGTGTGCCGCTATAGAGTCCGCAGTCCTGATAACAGCTGCTCCAGCTCCACAAATTCAGTCCGAGTGCTGTTGAGATTCGACACATCCACACAAATTTATAGACAATTCAGAATTCACCAACCAAACTGCAAAAAAACCCAGTTGTCATCAAGAATCCAATTTGTTTCCATCGAGGTAAGAGGGTCCTCCTTATGCCCTGACTCCTGTCAGGAGAAGTTGATCAATTTTGTTGAGAGACCAGCTGATCCTTCGAATTAAGAGGTATGCAGAAAAAAAAGATATTAAATTCAATTAAAAAATACTTTATTAATCTCAAAGGGAAACTAAGTGTTGTCGTAGCTCATCGTCCTGGTTCCATTCAAGAGTTATAGATGCCGATAGCTGTGGGCAGGAAGGATCTGCAGCGAATCTGAAAAATCTGGCCACAGATACCGATCTGTCCACCCAGATCCAGCTGGCTGTCAGATCTGGTGGGCCTCTTGATCCTCCTGGGCAGCAGGACTGCCCGAATGCTGGGCAGAATTCCTCCCTGAGTGATGGTCACTCCTCCCAGCAGTCTGCAGAGCTCCTCGTCACCATGGACAGACAGCTGAAGGTGCCGGGGGATGATCCCGGTCCTCCCATTGTCACAAGCCGAGTTTTCCCACCAGCTCCAGGATTTTGACGGTCAGGTACGAGCACTGCCGCCAGGTTGATGGGAAATGATCCACAGCGCCTCCTTTTCAACTCATTTGGGATTTGGGGCTCTAGTTGAGGTATTCTTTTGAGATGTTAATCAGCTGCTTCTGGTTGTTAAAATAAACATCTTGTTGCCATGGTTGCGCATAATAATAAATGCCCAAAAGTATAAAGGTTTCAGTAAAAATCCTTCCAGCTGCACAGCATCCGATATCAGAGGAAGTAATTGTCTGGAAAAAAGTGATTTACATCCAGAAAAGAGTTAAAGTTTTCAAAAGCAATAACTCAAAATGAATGTAACAGAGCTACTCCAACATGCAGCCACCCCAAGAAGCACTATTCTAGAACATGGGGGGGTGTACCGCCATGATGACTTTTTGAACAGGGGTGTCAAACCCACGTACAAAAGGAGGCCAAAATTAAAACCTTTTCAAACTAAGGGCCAATTTCAGAATCTACATTAACTCAAGTTAGATACCAAGCATATTTTCTTGATCACAGGTTCCTCAAGAGTTTGATTGGTCTCAGTTGATGTTCTCTGTTGCACTTTTCACATCATAATCAAAGATTACTGAAAAAAATTCAAGTGATAAAAGTATTTTACATTTAAAATAACATCGTGGGGGCCAGAAAAGATGTCAATGAGGGCCACATTTGGTCCTCGGGCCTTGAGTTTGACACATATGATAGAGGCTTCATGCTCGGGATGTGGGGCTTTACAGTCAGTACAAAACTCCCGCCTAGACCCTCCCAACTCGCTAACATGCTGTGACACCATCAGTCACGATGTTGTGTGAGACTTTTCTGAAAGGCTCAAATACATATTTAAAATTAAACATATGTACTTCTAAAAATAAGGCAGCAATGGAAGAGCCAGTAGCAACTCCTTAATCATCATCGCCATGAGAATTTTACAAATTGAGATACACTTTTAGAAAGGAAAGATTAAATATTGTTTAATATTTATTTTGTTGCATTTTTACTCCTTCGCACAGGTCAAGATTGTGTTTTGTGTCATTGACTGGTAAGCCCATCATCCTGTTCAGCCGGGACACGACTCGCCACACATCACGGTAGCACATAATTAGCAAGAACTGACCATGCTTTCAGAGTTTTACAAAAATTGGCAATTTTCTTGTGCAAATGTCGCCAGACATGCTTGCAAACTCCCATTGCTCAACAATTTTAGATCAGAATCAGAATAAACTTTATTGGCATTGCACCGAGATACAACGCAAATATGTACGTAGTCGTCCGAAGATGGGCGGAGTGCACAAAGCTGCAGCTATAAATAATTAGCGCGGCCTTCTTATTCTTATTCAGAATAATATTTTGCTTAGATAAGAAAAGGAAAGAAAACATGAGGAGAGACGGTATAAAAATAAAAAGATCTCACATCGTGTCCTAGACGGGGCACAATTTGAGGCATCAAAAAAACCTACCACAGCAAAGCAACATAAACAGACGTTATACATTTACATATAGGCGGTGAAAACATTGA